TTGATGATTCTTCCACCAATCCTGATGCCACATTCCTCTTCGTATAGCCCGGCGTCTCAGATGATCTGTTCTGCATACAGATTGAAAAGGTTTGGAGACAGAATACATCCCTGACGAACCCCTTTCTTGATTTTGAACCATCTAGTGTCTCCTTGTTATGTTCTGACAACTGCCTCTTGATACGAGTATAAGTTTCGCATTAGCACAATCAAATGTTCTGGGATTCTCATTCTTCTCAGAGTGAGCCACAGCTTATTGTGATCCACACAGTCAAAAGCCTTTGCATAGTCAATGATGCACAGATGGACCATTATATATAGGACTACATTTTATTTCAACTGAAGAGCATCTTGCCATTGTATAATAGGTGAACTTCGTATCATCTAAAATGTGGATTTTTGCCTTCACCTCTTCCTCATCCTCCTCTCTTTTCTCTTGTAGAAATCATTACCGCCTGAGTGCAGCTGCCACAGGAGGAACATCGACAAAGTGCTATTACACCCTGACCTTTGCTGTCACTTTCCCACACAATGAGGATGCCTGCTACCTGGCCTACCATTACCCCTACACCTATTCGGCCCTTATGGTAACTTCATCTTTACAACATTCCTCCACTAGGGATGAAGGTACTCACTGATTTGTTCCTTAACACACTCAGGAGACGTTGAGAACTCTCTGTAGGGAGCCAGAGTTTGCTGACATGGAAGCATTATAGTTTCCCTGCTCAGAACAGGATGGAAAAATCATGGCTAGTGATATTCAGAATAATTCATTAGTGTGTAACTCTTTGCAAAAAGAACAGAAAATGGGGTCACAGGGCCGTGTGTGCCTCTCTGAAAGGACCTGAAGGAGTGAGAATGGCATAGCCCCTCATCACCCCAGAGCAGAAAGCAGACAAAGAGCCAGTAGGCCAGCCCCATGGCGCCTCCAGAGCCACACCAGAAGCAAGAGGTTTGTTTCTTCATTGATAACGTATTAGGTAAATAAATTGAAGAATGAGAGAGACAAAGAATAGCAGACAAATGCAAATCCAGGTTTTCACCCAGCAGTTCCAGGCCATATTAACAACAAAACACAATTCCTTAATTAGTAAAAGTCCTGGTTTCAGTTCAGCAACACAAATTCAAGACACCTCTGGTTTCTTCAATAATCCAGCAAGGTTTGCCTCACAGCAATTTTAAGTCTGCTTCTCCTTTGAATATCCAGCAAGAAGAAAAAACTTTAACTGTGGTGTTTATCTGCCACAATCTCTCCACAGCCATTACCAGCATCTTTCCACCAAGGTCTCACTCTCACCAGTGTAAAGTATTTCTCCAGTCTCTCTCAAGTCATGCTGCTCAGTGTGGGAAGCACTTTCTCTTATCTTAGTCCCACGGCTGTTGATGATTTGCAAAACCACGTGTCTGCAGTTAATGTAATGGATGGAAAAGCCAATTTTTAAATTAACACTATCCCCTTCTAGTCTGCAGGCTGCCTGACATAAATAGAGGTGAGATGAGATGAGATGAGAAGTAGAGATCTCTGTATCCAGAGATAGAGCCATACTTTGGAAGAAAGGACACCTCAGAAAAAAAAGTTATAACCATGAAAATTCAATGGAGCAGAGTTCTTTTCTGACATGCCTGGGGGGATGCCCTAATTTGTGTATTGATTTAATAACAACTGTTGGTGATATAATCTTTTAAGGACTTGATCTGCTGTTTGCTGAAAGGTTGGGTGTTTTAGCCCACCTTGAAGTGTCTCAGAAGAAAGATGTAATAATGGTCTTCCAAAAACTAGCACTGACAGCACTATGGAATGCAGCTCCAATATGACACAACGTTTTCTTGAGTTTGAATCAATCAACTCAATGACAACTTTCTTGTTGCTGTTGTTGTTGATTGTTAAGCATCATTCATCACATTGATCATGATACAGTCAGATAAAAAGGGAGATTATCAAACTGAAATTGTGCAAAACAACAAAAGTAATCCAAAATGCAAGATTGAACAAAACTCGAACCCATTACTTTGATTTGGAACCAACTTAGAACTGACCCTCCATGGATTTCCAAGGCCTTAAATACCATGGGTTTTTTTGAGAAGAGTAGAGTGTAAGGTAGGAAGTTGATGCTTGGAAAAAAAAATTAACTGTGTCTATGAGCATCGTGCTTGGAGGGGTGTAGGGAGAGGAAGACCACAGATGAGATAGATTGATACAGTGACTTGGGGTGGGGGTAAGTGTGTCGGAATCAGTGAGACTGGTTCAGGACAGGGAAGGCTTCAGAACTGCTGTATGTTGAATCGCTGTGGGTTGCAGGCAACTCGACAGCACATAGCAACAACATTAAGAGGCAGTCTGTAGGTTGAGACTGGCAGAAGGACCAAGAGTAGACAAAGGGTGGGGAAAAATAAACACTGCCAATAAGCTCCATGGTCTCTCTATAAGTAGGTGCCACAGAAATCAGTCTAGAGTTACAGATAGAACTCCTAGATTCCATGTGAGGACTTGCAAAAGTTCATCAGACAGTTTTGATCAAACTTAAGGCTTAAATAGTGCACTTTTCCATTATTTGAAGATGACAATTTCCCCCTTAGCTATTTCATGGATATCTTGAGGATAAATGAACTAAAATATCTTTCATAAAGTACTTTCATTTTCTCTGTTAATGTAAACCATTGTTAGCATATTTATTTTTACATTACACCTTACCCTGAAGGATGAGCATTTTCATTTGAAGGCTGGATTAAGAGTTGGAAAAGATAATAACCAGAAGCATCTCTCTTGAAAAGAAATTCTGAGGTTTAAATGAGGACATTTCTCTATTGAGGAAGCATCTCTTACACCACTTGGCTAACAGCTTTGTGGAGGTGCATCTGTCCTTCTCTCCATATGCTCCCTTGCCTAAAGAGGTATTTTTACTGTTTTCCAGATTGCCAAAGATACATAACTAGTATTATTTGTGTATCATACTTAGAGAGCTCAAGAAGTTAATCCAAGAAATGTGCATCACAAGCTATGCTGTAACAAGCCACATTTGTTACAAAGCATGTTTGCTGCCTTTAGGGACACTGAAGAGACAAGATTCATGGTCTCCTTCAACAGCTGTTTTCATTGTCTCGCCTGTGAGGGACAACCTGTGAAAAGTGTTCTGGGAAGGGAATTCCTTTCCAAGAATGTGCTTGTCTTTTCTAGGGTTGGGCAGGGCTTCTGTCACTCATTAGAATATCTTGGACCCTGAGACTTTTGGTAGCCATTAGTGTAAAACTTTAGAACTCAAAGGAATTTAGGTCATTGTCTAATTCATCTTTTTTATTTACATAAGTAAAAACTGAGACCCTAACATCCTGCATTTAGCTACTGACCACAAAGAACAGAGCATGGATACTGGCATCTATTACTGTGCTTAGAAGAAATGGCAAAGAATTTCTTTATGTAGTAATCAGTGTCCTTGCTTACAAATTTATTCAATGTTGTTAGCTGCTGACTTAGGCTAGTTAAGAGAGAGAGAGAGACAGAAAGAGAAAGAGAACAAGGAAGAGAATGAGAAAGAGACAGAGAAGAGAAATTTATCAGACTTAGATACTCCTGGGCTTGGAGAGGTTGAGAAGTCCCAAATCCATGGATCAGACATTTGACTGGAAACTTCTCTTGACTTACAAGGTTGTTGAGGAGAATAACGCCATAATTGGCAGGTCTAACCATAGGCTGTTGGTTGAGGCTGTGTAAAGTGGTGAATCTCAACATTAGAAGATTAAATACCATGCTATTGTAACACAGCCCAAAGGCAGCTGGGAGAGGAAGCAGCCATGTTGCTCCTGGTTGGCTCCTCCCAGGGTCTTGGGAAGTTCTCCTTGCCAGAAGGAGCATGGGTGTTTTGATGACAGGAATTGTGGCAAGCTTTTGGAGTCGACTGCTTTTCCAGGCATGTGTTTGTTACGTGAAGGTTTGCTCTGTCCCCGGGAACAAGGCTAGCCAGCCTGGGCCTAGGGTTTGAATCAGGAGGCGGCCTTAAGCCCAAAGGTAACTCGTGGTTGCTGTGATGCTGAAGACTGTGACAGTGATGTGCCAATCGTGGTAATGGGCACCCATGGTGGACAGTGTTGGCTGGAGCTTCCCGACTATATCAAGCCTGGAAGCAGGAGCGGCATCCACTTCCAAAATGACTTGCCTCCGGAAACTCTATGTACGAACAGTGCTCAGGCTGTTCATTCATAGGGTTGTTATGAGTGGTCTATGACTCGATGGCACCAAACAACAACAACAACAATATTTATCACAGGGTTAAAGAAGCTGGAGAGTTCCAGAATCACCAAAGTGGGTACAGGGTCCTAACTCAAGTGCCAAGAAGCAGACATTCAGATGTGTCAGGTGATGATATGCTGGATGAAGAATGCTGAGCAAGGGAAATCTCAGCTAGTGCATCTTCTACTTTCTCTTTATCTGCCTCTCTCCTCCTCTCTCTCAGGAAACTCCTGTCACACGAGAAATAAGGTCGGCCTTAAAGACAGATTTGTCCTGAATAAAGATGGTACTTGAGTCAGGCCTTCTTGTAAAGTTGTCACTCAGGATGCACCCCGTGCTAATCCTGCCTCATTAGCACGTAGAAGTTAGGATTTGTAACACATAAAAAGGAGATAATTACATACCATCAAAAGTAAAGGTCACGGCAGATCATAAAATGGAAGACAACCACACAATACGTAGCTGACACATTACATTTACCATCATAGCTAACACTGAGTTGGCATCTGACTCATGTGAACATCATGCATAATGGAATTACATGCTTCCTGACCCTGTTCATATCACTGTGATCCGTACTGATTTTTGGAAAAAAAAATTGCTAAGCCCTTTCCCCCCAGTGTACCTTAGTTTGAAAACTCTGATGAAATCTATTTCGCATCATAGCAGCACATCTAACACATCATTGCAGCTTCTATTAACCTATGAGTGGTAGCTGCTTGTGAAGTGCATTTTTGGGGAATAAAGTCCATCAAAAGACCAATATCAATCCAATTCTGTATACTAAAAAAATAATTGAAGTAACTGTATTATATAAAGAAGAATATGGCATCAAGATTTGGGGAAAGATTCATTAATAACCCATGTTATGCACATGACATAACCTTGTTAGCAGAAAATGAAGAGATCTTGAAGCTTTTAATATGGATTACATCTCAACATAAAAAAAAAAAATCACCACTGGGCTAACAGACAACACCATCATAGATGGAGAAAAAAACCCTGAAGTTGTCAAGGATAACATTTTACTTGTATCCCAATCAATACCATGTCTGCAGTAGTAAAGAAATGATGTGTAGCGTTGTGAAAATCTGCTGTCAAAGACCTCATGAAAGTACTGTAGGGCCAGGATAGCAGTTTCAAGAATAAGGTGTGCCTGATCTAGGTCATGATATTTTCAATTGCTTTTGAAAGCATCTTGAAGTTGGTCAATGAATAAGGAAAATCAAAGAATCTATGCCTTTGAATTGTTTTGGCAAAGATTACAGAATATAATGCAAAACTTCCGAAAGAACAAACAAATTTGTCTTAGAGCAAGTAGTAATCCTGAGCGACAAGGGTAGTGGGACTTCATGTCATCTA